AACTTTAACAAAGAGATAGTAAGCATAAAAAAAGACATAGAAACCATAAAAAAGAACCAGTTAGACAGAAAAATACAATAACTGAAATGAAGAATACACTAGAAGGAATCAATAGCAAATTAGATGAAGCAAAGAAAAAAGTGATTTGGAAGACAATGTAGCAGAAAACATCCAATTGAAAGAGCAAAAAGAAAACACACACACACACACACACATACAGTGAAAATATAAGGGAACGAAAAAAGATATTTCATGAAAATAGAAACAAACAAACAAAAAATCTGTGATAGCAATACTTATACCAGACAAAATGTACTTTAAAACAAAGGCTATACCAAGAGACAAAAGATTCAATAATCCCATCTCTGGGTATTTACTAGAGGAAACCCAAAACACTACTTTAAAGGGAAATGTGTATCCATATGTTCATTGCAACATTATTTACGATTGCCAAGATATGGAAGCAACCTGGGTGCCCATCAATGGATGAATGAATAAAGAAGAGGTGGTACATATATACAATGGAATATTACTCAGCCATAAAAAAGAATAAAATCTTTCCACCTGCAACAATATAGATAGACCTAGAGGGTGTTGTGCTAAGTGGAATAAGTCAGACAAGGACAAATGCTATGATTTCACTTACAGGTGGATTCTAAAGAACAAAATAAACAAACAAAACAGAAACAAACTCATAAATACAGAGAACATTTAGATGATTGCCAGACAGGAGAGGGTTGGAGGTGGGGAGCGTAAAAAAGGAGAAGAGATTAAGAAGTACAAATTGGTAGTTACAAATAGTCGTGGGGATATAAAATATAGCACAACGAATATAGTCAATAATACTGTAATTACTATGTATGGTGTCAGATGGGTACTAGATTTATCAGGGTGATTACTTCATAAGTTATATAAATGTTTAATCACTATGTTGTACACCTGAAACTAATATAATATTGCATGCCAACTATTACTGAAAAAAATTAAAATTATTTGTAAAAGTACAGTCAATAATAATATAGTCAATAATATTGTAATAACTATGTATGGTGCTAGGTGGGTATTAGACTTATCTGGGCTGGGGGGGTCACTTCATAAATTATATAAATCTTTAACTTCTATGTTGAAACTAGCACAAAATAATATTGAATGTTAGCTATAAATGAAAAATTTTAAAAAGACCTAAAAAAAGAAAACTATCCAAAGTAATTGCTCCTTCTTAAAAAAAATCTGCCTTAGTATACACTTGCATATTAGTGATGTTCAAAATAATATATGTAACTCTTCCTATTACATTACTTTCCAAAATATTTCAACAATTTCACCAAGAGTATTAGTCTTAAAGAAAAATTTTATTAATGTGATCAGCAAATAGAAATGAGCTAATCTAAGCAGAGTACTGGCAATCAAGTAGTACTAGAAATCAAAAGAGAAAATGTTTCTGCCCTCATGGACCTCGTTTTCTAGGTAGAAAGAATAAATTATAAATAATATACACACAAACACTTATCAATAATGATTAGTGCTATGAAGGGAACCAAAGAAAGGTAAAATGGGTCGGAATAGGAGGTTGTTTCAGGTTGCGTCGTCAGCTCTGAGTAAGGCGTCTTTCGATGGGAGAGCAGGGAGTGTGAGTATCTGGGAGAAGGACATTCAACTCTAAGAGAATATAATGACCCTAAATTAAGGCAGGTTTGAGGACCAGCAAGAAGGTTTGCAAAATACACAAATACACTTCCATGATGAGAGTATGTGCAATTATTAATGTATTCACTGGTAGACAATTATAATCTACATTCAACCAAGTTATAAAGGCAGACCACGTCTCTCTTCTTTTTGTAACTACTTACCTTCCTACTAGTTATGGGGGGAGAGCAGAAGTGTATAAAGGATATTGTTATTCGCTTTCTCTTTTTACTGTGCATACTCCGCATCCTTTGACCCCTCTCCTATTTCCTATTCCCTCTTCTCTCCCTCCTTCTCTCATTTCCACTTTCACCTTCACTTCTCCTCTTCCCTCTCCTTCCTCCTCCTCTTCTTCCTTCTCTTCTTCCTTTTTCCCTGCACCTCCTTTCAAATTTCTATCTCCTATCTGCATCATTTATTGCAATATTTATCTGCCTTCATAAAATATCAGAAATAAAAATTGTCTTTGAGAGATAAAGATAATAAAGTCTATCTTACATCTATTATGAGCAGCAGTTTGTATCTGTGTTTTATTATTAGCAAAAGTAACCACATTCACCACAATTAAAAGAGGAAGGATGTTGGGGGTGGGGGAAAGAAGACAGTAGCATCAAATACAATAAGTGTGGCTTTGCTATGTACTCATAGAAATGAGTCTAGTGACTCATAACTAGACTCTGTAAGACTATATGGCCAATATCCAGCAACAATGAGTACCTGATGGGTGTCTTGACCTTGCTTTCAGCCTGCAACTTGAAACATTTCACTTCAATCTGTCTTATACTTCAACATAAAGGTAATAATAATAATATACCCCAATAATGAGGTAGAGTAATATACTCCAACCTACTATTGATCTCCACATCAAATAGGCTCTTGCTTAGGCCATTGAAAACCTTTCTTTTTACAACCTCCCAGCTACTGCTCAGACCAGACACTGAAGGCTGCTTCTCTAGTTCCCACCACTCTTGCCACCTCAATGGAGACTCTCACTCTTCTCTTCTCACCTTTTTAGTTATTCTGGATTAACTCTCCTACTCCTTCTGGCCTGATGCCCGGTATCCTGTCAAGACATAAGATCTGGTGGTATTTCTGTCAGGTTATTTTCAGCTCCTGTAATTTGGTGCTAGATAGGCACGGATATTGATTATTCTAGCAAAAAAACTTCTTATTTGAGACTTTAAAATGATCATCTGCTCTAGGACCAATCTAGAAGTTGAAGACAAGATTAATCCTTTTCTTCTCTAGAAGGTGAACAGGAGCTATTTCTAATCTTTATGAATTTTCATCAATTAGTAAGTTACCAAACAATATTCTTCACTACCCTACATACTTCCATCTTGCCTCTTCCCAGTCATTTCTCAATCCAGTAACTCTTAAGAATGTAAATGTTATCACATCACTCCTCTGCTTAAAAACCTTTACTAGATTCCATTTGCACCCAGAATAAAGTCTAAGCCATACTAAGACCTATGAAAAGCTGGATTGTGTATTAGTCCCTTCTTCACCAACCCTTAAAAGAAAGCCACAATGGCTTTCTTTAAATTCCCAGAACACCATGCCTCGGATTCTTCCATGCCTCGGATTCTTTTCACATACTGGCCCTATCCCTGCTCATCACCACATTTACATGGATAACTCATTTTCATCCTCAAGTCTCAGATTAAGTGTGTCATTAGAGAGGCTTCCTTTGACCATCTTATTAAAATTCAAACCCTTTTCTCTACCCAACTCCATTGCTTTCAAAAACAGAAAGCTTTTTTTTTTTTCTTCAAATCACCTACTCTACATTTTTTATTTGTATCATTTTGGGTCTACTTGGGGAAATAAAAACCATACCAGTTTGTTTTAACATGGCAAACTGAATATAGGAAATTAGCAAAAAATGTATTGGTAGACTGAAAAGATGAAACGAGGAAACTGAGGTACCACAGAGATAGTAATTTCAGGGAATAGCCACCATGCCTAGGGCTGGGAGTTATCAGAACCTAGAAGGAGGTTCCCTGCAGGGCTAGGACCTAGAGCTCCGAGGGTACCATTTGTCTCCTGTCAGTCCCTCAAGAGTTCGGAGGAGGACCCTGTAGAGCTAGTTCTCAGAGGCTAAGGAGAGGGTGCTGCCTGGCTGGTGCTAGAATCTCTGACAGGTGCAATGAAGCTGATTCTGGGAGTGCTGAAGAAATTAGAAACTGCAAACAACTGGGGATGCTGGAGTAAATTACATGGCAACAGTACCTGCTTGGAACAACAGGAGCACAAATGGAGCAAGTCCCTTTTGCTTCCTGTCACCTACCAGTTTTCCTAAGTGCCCCCTATTGACAAAAGCTAATAGGGATCCAGATGGCAAAGGAAAAATGTAGTTTTCAGAGTACCAAGCAATTTGAGGGTGGGTTTAGAAATGAGATATCACAGCTTAAAAACTGGCATAGTATTTGTTTGTTTATTTATTGTCTTTTCTTTCCTACTAGACAGTTCACATTCGGGACCTATGTTTTGCTTTTTACTGTTTTACTCCCTTCATGTGCACGATACAGTAAGACATAAAAGGTACTCAATAAATATTGCTTGGATGGATAAATTTGTTAGATTTTTTCAAAACTACTTAGCAAAATGTACAATGCAATTCTTGTCAATTGAAGAATAATGAGTGCCTCATGTGATGATTTAGGCTTCGGGGCTAAAATGTGAATATGAGGCAGTTCTTACTATTTAGTAGTGAATTTAAGACATTCTCATACAACATACTTTAATAAAATGTTATAGCAAACATTCATATGTTTAAATGCCCAAAGAATTAAACAGGCAGCAAAATCTACAGGAGACGAGGAAAAAAAAAAAAAAAGGTAAATGTAAGTTTGGAATAATTCAGAAGATTTATAGACGTTATGATTAGAGGCAGGCTTGAGAGGGGGCAGACAAGCAAAACTGGGGAGGAGGGATGAGTCTGGCATGTTTTAAGATGATTCTGATGAAAGCAGAGAAGTGAGGGATTGGTAGAAACCACTGGAAAAGTAAGTTGGAACCAATTGTAGAAAATCATGAATTCTGGGCTTAGAATTAAGTGTATTATGTCTTTTGCAAAGAGAAGGTTTTAGGCAAAGGAATGATGTGGCCATTGAAAATATTTTCTGAAGAAAGTCAAGAAGGGTGGAGAGGATATTTAAAATTAATCTACAGTGATTCATATAGTGAGAAGGGTGGTGATAGATGAGACATAATGCTTCATCAGAAGAACTTGATTAATAATGACATCAGTACAGTAAAAGTCCCAGTGAATATTTATCCTCCAATAACTGAACTCAGTATTTTAAAAGTTACTATGAATCCGGAAGAATATATATATCTTCATCTTGAGAGACTTCAGAAGTACTAGGCTTCTGAAAATTATAATATTCAGACGTCGTCTCATTTCCATAGATATGCTCCTCAATGTTGGTCTGCCGAGTGTTCTCATATAGCTCCTTATTGGTTTCTTCTTTAGCTTCGGGAGGCCTCGTTTCCACATTTTCATAGTGGTCATATATGTCAGTCTCCTCCATAGCAGATTTGTGGCCTTGGCTTTGAACCGAGGTTTTATTCTTAGAACTGCTAATGTGGGGACCCAAGATGAGCGTTTTAGTATAGTCTTTTTTCCTGCTTCTTCTTTGCAAAAACCTTGGTAAGGTAAATTGTGTTTGGTTACGGTGTTTCCAGTGCCAAACACACCCAATTCCACAGATCAGCAACAGTAAAAGAAGAGAAATTCCTATAGGAATGGCCATTGAAGTGTTTCCACAGCTTTTCAACATTTCCACACAAGCAGTGTTGTTTACTGGTATGGTGTAGCCCTTAATGAATTCACAGGTACAGACCAATGTAATTCTGTGTAGGGTACAGTTAAAAGGTAATTTCGGAAGCTCTTCCAGGCACTTCTTTTTCAGATCTGAAAAAACATGATCTGGCAAAGTCCTGATGCAATTAGAGGAGAGATTGAAGAACTTTAGTTTTGGAAGATGATTCTCGTTGTATTTGATGCTTTTTACATTATAACCATTAATGTATAATTGTACTGTGTCAGGGGGGATTTTAATCGACTCCAATTTCTTTTCTGTCTGTGAATCACAGAATGAAGCAGAAATGAGTGGAAGATAATAGCAGAGTAGAAACCTCAAGAAAAGGAAGGTTGAATGATTTGCCATCCAGAAGCCTGCTATAAATTAAAAACATATTATTAATTGTATGTTTATTAAATTAGCATAATAAAAATTCTACCTATACATTAAGCACCAGCATTTAGTGAGTTCATGCTTCAAAACAGAATATAATACTAGCTGTTAGAAGAAGATAAAAAGATTTAGAAGAACATGTCCCTGCTCAAGCCTGAGTGATTTCATTACTTAGATTTCAACATGGTTTTTGACATTGGCTTATAATTTTCAAGTAAAAGACGACACTATGAACACAATAAGAGGAATGGGAAAAGAGCATACATTTACAGTCACTTCCATTACCTATCACCTCCTTTGTGAAGCCTGTGGCGTGGTCAGGGACCATGTCTTTTTCTTAATCACTCCTTCTTCTATAGTCCCATATTAATGAGTTCCTTCTCTATTATAGAATGATAATCTAAATTACAGAAAATTGTTTACCTTCCTACCTGGATAAATGGTGGGCAAGGATCAGGTCTTTTCATTTTTATATTCCTAGAGACTAGCAAAGTACCTAATACAGAAAAGGCACTCAATCAATATTTATCAAATTAATGATTAAATAAACAAATGACTCCAAATCTTAGCCTCTAATTGCTTGTCGATAGTTTAAAACTCAAGAGATGTCTTCTAAAGGGTATAGTTTATATTTAAAGGAAGAAAAGAGCTCTGTGGCATAAAATAAAAAAAGCCTTTCTATTACCAGTCTTCCCACACTTTCCAGTAAATAAATTCTATTCATTTAAGATAATTTTAAAGTGTTTTCTGTTAATGTTTTAAAATGGCAAAGAAGAAACAGAAATCATTCAACTAGACTGAATATTCTATTATGATTTTATCAACAATATTACCATTGTGTGTTTTCAGCTTAGCCTCAGAAAGAGTTACTGCCAATAGGTGAGGTGTTTTTTTGTTCATTTTGTTGAGATATAAATAACATATAACATTGTATAAGTTTAAGATGTACCACATTATATATATTTGATGTATGTATATATTGTGAAATGATTATTACATTAAGATTAGTTATTCATCACCCTACATAGTTACAATTTTTTTCTTCTGATGGGAATTTTTAAGATCTACTCTCTTAGCAACTTTCAAATATACAATATTATTAACTATAGTCATCCAATATTGTTAATAGTGCTTGCGAAATCATCATCATCATCTATTGAATGTCAACATCAATAATATTTTGTTAAAAGTTTCTTTTGGGTCACCTTCTAAACACCTTTACATGAATTATCTCATTTAATCCTACAGCTGCCATATGAAATAGATACTATTGTAATTCTTATTTTATGGATGCGAAAAGACAGGATTTAACAGGTTAAATAACTTCCTTAACAGCTAAGAAGATACTAAACAAGATTCAAGTAAAGTTTGCCCCAAAATATTATTCTTACCCAAATTTCTATAAATGCTGTCAATCACATTTGTACTTAATTTGTATAGCTTGATCAGCTCTGAGGTTGTTGAGGGCTGGGAACCTTATGTAGTTATATTACCAGCACTAGTACTGGTAGTTATTAAATATCTAGTTCATTAAATAGCTGTTAATGAATGAGCAACCTGCATTAGGATAACAATAATAACAATAAACAGGAAAAAAGAAAGCCAATGAACTTGTGCCCTGCTTTCAGTGAGTTTTCTTGTTTGATACTAAACTTTCCCAAATTTGTTCATGGTTAGAATATACCAACATGCAAAATTTCAAGTTGTCATTTCACATTAAATACCAAATTGAATATGAGATTCAGTCAATTTATAAAATGTATTTGGTAAAACTATAGAAACAGATATCCCGGATCTAGACATCTTTTAATCTCTTTGGAACTTTGGTAGGGTCCCTCCTCTATAAGGCCAGGCACACTGCTTGTGTTTGAGGGCAAAGTTTTGGCAAATGACTTTAGCCATTAGAAATGCATTTCCTTTTTGAAACAGATAAGAAGTGGTCATATTTAAGATATTTTATGGTATAAATACTTATTTAAGTGATTATTTGCCAGCATATTTGAGCTAAATTTCAAAATCAATTGAAATTAATCATATTTTCAGAAGACCTGAAACCAAAGCGGGGAAGGCCAATTATTGTCTCCTGAAAATAAATGCTCTCTCAGTTTTCAAGAGGAGAATTTATTTTTACTATTCATGATCTTCTATATAAAGTAGACATTCTAGTACATTCCAAATATTAAAATTGTCGAAGAAGTGTTCACTGAGATAAAGACAAGGCTTTTTAAAAGAAAATAAATATATCCTTTTCCTTTCTTCAAAATAACTTACTAGGAAAAACCCTGCATGACAAAGACCTACTAGAATAAAAAACATACGTTAAACAAAAGCACTTCGATTATGGTTTCACATCTAAATAAATTTCGTTTTACCCCATGTGGAAGAAAACTGTTTGTTTTGGTTTCGGAAAACAGTTCCAACAGGTTACTTGTTATTCCTTTGGCTTAAAATTACAAATTGTTGATAAACTGGAATTTTCAAAGTCAGATGCTGCCCTTCTGTTTGGAAACAAGGTGACAGCAAAGCTTAATCTTATACTTGTGATCATATGTACTTAAAAAGAAACATTGACAGCATCTTCAGTTTGTAAATTTTTTCCCTGTCATCCCCTAAGGTCACCAAAAAAAACTGTGTTTAGTAAGATTTAAAAAAAGGTCATTGATTGTTAAAAATGAACTTGTTTCTTAAAGTTTTTCGTCATCTACACACCTTAAATCAGGTTTTTACTTACCTTGAGATGGGTATGCCTAGCTCTCTTCTGTTCTTTTGGTTATGTTTTAAATGTGCTTTGGTTTAGGACTTGTTCCTCTTTTTCATTTTGGTCAGTTACTTCCTTCTTTACCTCCTCCTTTCAGATTATTTCATACTTGCAAAGTTTCCTGGCTCTACAGGAAGTTCTTATCGGATGCATCAGAATTAAAATAAATGGCATAAGTTCGGAATAAGGAAGTCTAGCTCTTCATCTTCATCAAGTAATACTTTTCCAACTTTATCAGAAAACTATGCATAAAACCTATTTTTTCTTTTTAATTTGAGCAATGTTTGCAGTCCTCATTTTAGAATCGATAAACATTGTTTCACTTGCACTTCAGTTTTTAGAAAAGATTTTTAAATGCAGTAACACACAGGTCTTGTATGTTGGCTTGTTTGATTGCTAGAACAGTTCTTTCAAATACTATGTCCCAATGCCTCAGGTTACATCTATACTTGTAAAGCCAGTGTTCCAAATTTGGTTCAGAAAGTGTTAATATTCTTTTAAATTGATGGTAAGAATTTCCAAAAGTATATTCTGAGTTGGACTACTCCTGGGATTTTCTAGTAGGTCTTTCATCAAGTAAATTCAGGAAATACTGCTTACTTGGAGATTCGTAGGCACTCAACATATTAAAGACTGAGCCGTCCTACAGCAAGCAAACAAAACAAAACCAAATATGAAAGAAAAAAACTGTTTGACTTTGTTTAATAATAGTAGTCAACATATTCCTAGCACAAACTATATCTTCTAAATCCTTTGTGTACTACTCAGTAAATTCTGACAGGAGAGGACTGTTTTTTGTCCTACTTACAGGGAAGGGAGTGGAAACAGAGTGGTGAACTAATCACACACCTAACGTGGCCTGGCAGTCTGCCCCCAGCACCTATGAGCTAAACCACTACTAGTTGTCTTGCTAGGGTGAATAATATTTCCAACACAAAACTGTTATTTAACAACATCTCAGAGATTAACTCTGTAGGGTACGAAAATGGGAAATGCTGAATTAGACACGTGAGATGATAAAGTGATGAAAATTTTACCTTTTATATGTACTGGAACTTTTTCAACCACAGAGAATTAACTTTTTGTATGAGGTGGTTTAAAAGAAGATGATTTAGTTACTGAAATATCAATTGGACATTATTAGAACAATAACATGAATATAAATTAGGCACTGACATTGTGCTAATGCCTTGTGCTTGTAACAGGGATGCAATAATGAACAAACTTCCCTGTAGCACCTAAAGCCTAGTGGAAGAGGCTGCTGAATTCACACATCATTTCAGATCACAGTTGTAAGGGCTAAGAAACACATGATTATGCACAGGGGATAGTGGGAACAAGGAAAAGAGGCATCCAGCTCAGGATGGGCAGGGAAGGAAAGACGTGAGCAAAGCCTCAAAGAATAAGAAGTCGATCGAGGCAGAATAGGAGTTTTCCAGTGTATTTAACTGCAATATTAACCACCCTTCCTCTTAGCAACACACATACACACACACATACGCGCACACACACACACACACACACACACACACACACAATCTGCATGTAATATAATAAATACAATGTTCATATAAAATTATGCGATCTACTCTAGAAGTCAGGAAAACTGGATGCTCATTCAGGTTTTGCCCTTTTAAACTTAAGAAAGTTATTTAACCCTTCATCACTTTAGATTTCCTATAGATAAAATAGTGGGATGTTGTCTGTCCCTTTTCCCTAGATAGAAATTTTCTTTTCAGTCATAGATATAACCATTCCTTGAGTTTGTAGAAGAAATTGTATATATATTTAAAATAGAATTATTATATAATTATCTTGTATGGAT